AGAAAACACAGGAACAGGTTAACTGCCACCAAAAGAGAAGACATACATGGCTGAGTTCCAGGCATGATGGGCCTCCCAGACATAGACTTGTACCCCGAACAAGGAAGAATATCTGACGTGGCGCAAACCTGTTTTCAAGAAGCATGTCTCTTCTCCCTCCCGCTGACATAGAAAAGAAAAAAGGAGCCTGTAATCTGTGATAAGGTAAAAAGCTGGAGGAGATGACATAATATAACTTTTGTTCACAGAAGAAAGAGTAGAATAATAAGGAAACTGCTTCTCTAGTGGATCCAGAAAGGACACTGTAGGATTTTAAACACAAGAAAGAAACACAGGAGAGGTGCAACCTACATCAAAGGACTAATCCTACTTTGGTCCTAATATTAGACTGCAACTAACAAGTTAAGAAGGGTATCTATCCTATAGAGGACTGCAGTGAGAACTGACATGAAGCTTATCATGTACATTTAGATTTCAAATTGTGTTTATAAAGTTAGTGCTGGAAAAATTAATTTAGAATCATCCATCTTGCTAAAAATCCCCACGAAAGTGAAAACCATTAAAGGACAGTTTACCATTTTGGATGGGCTATCATATCACTGAAAAAAAAAAAGTATTTGCTGATACAGTACCAGTAGCCCCTGTATGGCAACTCTGCTATTGGCAAAGTGACCAAAATGGATGTCCTAGTTTCCCCCACAACCATAATGTTATTCAATACTCCCTCACGTCATTGCCGGGGTGGGGTGAAAGGACTCTCTTGCTTCTTTGGAGAAGGGTGTTCCTTCTGTTGGAGCAAGTGTGGTGGATGGAGCAGTGTGATAATGCTGGTCCCAAGCCAAAGGGAGCAGTCTGGTTGGCGTGGCTGCAGTTGTGTCAAGCTCCACACTTTCTCTTTTTGTACACCTTTGTTATTAATATTGTTGCTGTTACTGTTTGTTTTCTTATCTCATTGTTGTTTCCAGTAAATTGTCCTTATTTCAGCTCATGATCTTTGCCTTTTTTGACTCCAATTCTCCTCTCTGATCTGCTGCAGCAGGAATAGGAGAGGAAAGGGTTTTGGGGGTGAAGTGAGTGAGCATCTATGGTTTTGGAGTCTCCATGGGGAGGCACTAAATTGGGGAATATCAATCCTAAACAACAATGGAGATGTGTTCCAGCCCACAGCATTGCTGGGAATATTTGGAAAAACAAACCACTTTCCAACTTAATGCTGGAATTACCTTACAACATAAATAAAAAAATATAGATATAAATCTACTCCTGTGATCCAGAAATGCACTGCAAATCTAAGTTAAACAGCAACAGCAATATCCGTCTTCCCATCCAATCCCTCCTAATGCACAGCTCACAAGTTCTCTGTACCTGCAAGATATACAATTCAATGCAAAATACCATGAAAATTAGATTGCCAAGGTCTTTTAATATATTGCCTTGAGTAGGAGTCACATTGTGAGAGACTAGAGAAAATTATTAATGGCTCAAAACAACAGAAGGGGCGGCAGTAAGAGGGGGAGGCAGTGAAAGTTCTGTGTAGGTGGGGCAGTGCATTGCTCCACACCCCACCTCTGGATCCTCTAGTCCAGCCTCAGAATAGCTGTCTGGCACACCAAAAGCCCCACCAAAAGCCACTGGCACACCAAAAGGCCCACCTGGGGGGGAAGTGCCCTGGGATAGCAGAGCAGATAAAAACAGTTACACGTCCCATTGTCTTGTATCTTATAGTAGCTGAGACCACACTGGATCCAAGCCATGACTATTGACCTTCCTCTCTCCCTTTCTTTTCTCTCTGTCTCTCTGTCTTTTTCTCTCCCTCTCTCTCTTTCTCCCTCTTTCTTTTCCTAACTTCCTTTTCTCAAAATCTGGGTAATTTAAAGTTGGATTTGTTAGAATTTGCTAAGTCAATGTTCTGTGTGTGATTTTGATTGAAAGTGCCTGAGTCCCTTTAAAAAGCTCATCAAGCAAGCTCAGGGCTTTACACATGTCAGGGAGACTTATATGCCATATTAACAAAATCCAACTCATTGTTGAGGATTCAACAGCATTACTCAGAAGATACAGGGAAAGCAATCATCTGAAAGAGCCATGAAACAAGATAGAGACTGGTATTCCAAAGCTCACACACAAGACTGGCAAAGAACCATTGAACCTCCATGAGACCAAAGTGCTAGGGAGAGAACAATAGCATACTGTGTAATGAAAGTTTGCAAAGCCCAAATTACTGCAGGAAAACTAAATGATACGTTGAAAATAAAAAAACAGTATGAAGTAAATGAAAAAAGTTAATGAATGTTGAAGAAAACAACAGGCACATAAACTAAGATGATCAGATTTCTCTCCAAGATTATTAATTCCTTCTGGGCTTAATCCATATAGATGTTAACGACCAAAAGGTTCAAATTAAACACATCAGCAACTGAGCTACTTGTAGTTGTTAGATTAGAGATAAAAGTCAAAAAACAGAGATGCTTTGCTGTCTGTAGAGATAGTTGTTCTTTTGGAAGAATTTGTAATGGGAAGCTAGAACTCATTTTCCACTTAGGAAGACTTTATTTCCATTTCCCTTCTTCATTTCAGAGCAAGTTGCAGGAAGAGTTGTAACTAAGCTATCTCTCTCCCTGGTATGCAGGAGAAATAGTGCTTGCAGACATGTACAGGGCCCCCTCAGGCCAGAGAGGGTGGGGGAGGACAGAGAGCAGATAAAAAGCCTTGGAAGTGCATGGGTAATTTCCCTTTCCTCTGAGGCCTGGTGCTGCCTGGCAGTACTATGATGTTTGTAAGTTTTAATGTCTTTGCCTCTGAAATAAACCCTTTCTGAACTATTTCCACTGCCTTGGGAAGATACCTGAGTATGTTTTACCTTACACTGTCTGAAAAGAAAAAAATCTACTAGACATATTAATGTAAGGACTTTTTTAATTTTAAGGAGAAATTCTAGTATAATGGCTTGCAAATGTCTCCTCTCATGAAAAAATGAGCCCGTGGAACCCCAGCCATGTGTAAAATGCAAAAAACCCCATCACTTGCAATAGCAGACAGGTAAGACCGGGACTGTGCCCAGGACTGTGTGTTGGGATGTGTGTTTTACACACTTGTAGATGCAGAGCAAAACTGCACAACAGCATAAGCAAAACAGTGTCAGGCAACAGAGCAAAGCCTAACATACCTTGAAAGTTGATTGCAACCCCATTAACCCGTCAGCTGCCTGCAACAGAGACAGCTATGCTTAATGAAAGGCAAGGGGAGTCAAGGCTAGCTGCAGTTCCAACAAATTCATTTTATATTTTTGAAAAGGCAAAGATCAAACAAAATCAATGCAAGAACATTGTTAAAAGCTCTAACCCTCTGGAAAAGAGTTGGAAAGAAGCTTTTGGAGTCATTCGCTAAACACAGAAGGAAGGAGCAAGATACATACCAAGGTGTAGTCCCCAAGCAACATGGGAATCTTGCTGTAGATGTGGGAGAAGACCCAAACCAACAATGTGGAAATTTTACACTGGCAAAAAGCAGAAAATTTACATGTGTTAATTCTAATGATTTTTGATTGCAGAATTGATGTCCTGTCATAAAATTATCAAACTGTTATATTGTCCTTTTAATATAGATAGGAATTGATGTTTAGATAATTCTCAGATATTACCCTCATTCTGTGAACTCTGAGCTTTCTGGAAAGCTCATTTTTATGTGAGAATTGCAGTAATTTCCCTGAATTAGACCATCTCATTCAACAAGAGGAAGACAATACAAAAAGGTAGATTTACAGACTGTCTATTGCATGTTTTGGGCCTACATGGGTGTTAGTTATGACTCCTTAGAACAAGGTTTTTCTCTGGATGGACAGAACTTAAAGATACTTTGTGGTTTGATCAGACAATATTCCTGGCTAGAAACATAGCTCAGTGCATTTACTTTGTAAGATAATGTTAGATAGTATGATGTTTTCTAGCCAAACTTGTAGAGATTATTGCCCAGGTGGAAAAGTCAGCAGTAATGCACTGCATCAGAAGTAGAATAAAATATCTAATGTCTTTCTTTAGGAGTGGAATATTTGTCTTGGACAAAGAGGCGTGCCAGATAGCGAAACATTTTTATATATGTACTTTGCATACTTACTGTTAGTCACTTGAGAAGTCTACACTTGAAGAAGTTCTGTCTAGGGAAAGCCTATAAGACCAGCTCTGGCTGAAAAGCTTTTCTCTGGAGGATTTTGGAAGAGAAAAGGAATGCTACATTACAATGTAACTACTTTGTGGGTGATGGTTTTTCCAGGCAAAAAAAAAGAACGGGGGAGAAGATGCATGTTGAAATTCAATATGAGTGGTAGCCAACATGAAAGTTATTTCTGAAATGAACATAACACAAAAATCAGTTCTGCTTTCCTTATGAGCAGAGGAGTTCAGTTCAAATCTTGTTTATCTGCACTTCACTATGATGGCCTCATTTGCTCCTTTCACCTCCTAGAAAAGAGTCAAGCCTAAACTGCAGGACACTGTCACTAAAAATCATCAGTGCTACAGAACATGCTCCAGCATATTCAAATACTGTCAAGCACAAATATAAGCTATTAAAATAGTCTTGAAATTTTGAGGAATAAGGACATCTTCAAACATATTTATTTTATCACTCATTATGTTTACATATTCAGTAATAGAAAAAATCTTTACTCTGCAAATTTTACCCTGGGTTTAATGCAAATATCTTCTAGACTTGGAGTTTGCATTTTATTAGGTGCTTTGCTACAGACCAAACACTTGTGACTACTTACCTATCCAAACCATGTAAACTGTAGTAAAAGAGGACAGAACTTGCCTAAACTTGAATGAGAGATGTGTGGCCTTCCCCATACTGCTCATGCTGTTACACCCTTCTCCTTCATAGATGGGTCAGCAGCACTGCATTTTTAAACTCTTTGACAATCATATTTAATTTATTTAATGAAGGATGAATGTTTAATAACTATGAATTTGAAAGAAGTATTTTCTCAGTAACCACCAAGTTAATTCACTTTTGGGCCTCAGAGGTCACTTTATTGGAACAATTTTTTTTGAGGAAAGGATTTTATTTGAGACGGTCTCCATATACAGATCAAATAGTATGCAAAAAATGTATTGTGCTGCCTAGATGACCAATCCTGTAAATTGATTTGTGAGTACTGACAGCTGTATGTGCTTTTATCATGCATGTGTGGGCAGATATCCAAAGACAGCAACAAAATAAACAAAAATTTTTTGTAGCACTTTGTCCTTACATTTATGTTATCTTTCAATATCAAATGTTGAAGTCTTTTGAAAGGGAAAGAGAAAAGAAGAGCAGATGGATACAGAGCACACTTGGGTGCTCAATAATATTCTCATACAGGAAAAGTACTGTTCTGGAAAAGCTGTATATCCTTCCAGTATGTGATGAAAGAATTATCCAAAACAGACTCTTTCAGTTCCAAGAAGATGGTTCTTTAGGATTTTTTTCCTTTGCTCTTTCTGCTGGTATCTACTGCACTTGCATCCACAGACTTCATTGAGATTTGCACCAGTAAAGCTCAGGGCTGAATTTGCTGCAAATGAAGACCTAAATGTCATCTTTGTACAACAAAGACAATGGCTGTCAGAACACCTTTATGTATGGGTAACCTGCTTGAGGTCCATAAATGATGTCTGTTTTTTAAATAGCTATCAAATACTCGCATTGTAAAAATCAAGGCCAAATAAGCTATATTCAGGTGGTCATTCAATTACAGAAGGTTCTAAAAGAACAACTTTGAAGAGTCTTTGCAGTGCTAATACTTTTAAAGTCTTATTCCAAGGCTTATCTGAAGGGCTGTCAAGCATTTCCCTGCAAAGGGGGGGGAAACCCACACGAAGCTTCAGAGTACAGTCATCCACCATATAATTGTCCAGAAAAAAAAAATTAAATAAAAGGAATCTAATCTCACCTGTTTACACTTCCCAAAACTCAACATTTTTTTTCTGTATTAAATGCTTCAAGAGAGGCATGCTTTTCAGAAAGGTAAACTGTACTTTCAGGCACTCCACAGTAGAAAGCTGACTGTACATCAAAACATCCTTTTAATCCTTCCTTACCAGGTTTGAGCAGAACTGATGAAACATTTCTGAAGGGAGAAATCAGAAATACTGCAAAGTAAAATTACGAATTATTTCACCAACCTATCTATAGGGAAAGAAATACATAGATTTTTTTTTGTTTTATTTTTCAGCACCTCTTCCTTTTGACTATCATTCTTGATAGCAGAACCGCTTCAGACGATGAACCTGAGAACCAGCTAATATCAAGAAATTACACTGAAAAAAGAAATAATATAACTTTGGCTCTCTGATTCAAGTTTTGCATCAAGATCCATTCTTGAACTGTCTTGTCTTTGGTCCCATTACTTGATGTGTAACTCTCTACGTTATCCTCTAATGTGACATAATATAGTTTAAGGGGGGGAAAAAAAGCAGCACCTTGCTATCAAAAAAATAGACAATGTGAGTAATTGTGTTCTTGAATTACAGATTATATAGGTATTTACTGATGAACAGTATGGAGAAAAAAAAAGTCTATTAATAATAGACTATAATTTCCTTATGCTGTAGGAGTAAGGAAAAAAAATTTTATTTTCATTAAAATTCGGCATGTATCAAGGTTGGAAAGTATAACATTTTGCTTCAGTGCTAGAAGTGAAGGGAAATTGATGATTTCAGAATACTGCTGTATGCAGCAAGGAACCAGGCTAAGCAACGTATTTTCCTAACATATAGAAACATACCTGAAGATAACTAACAGGACTGTAGTAAGATCACTTTGAAACAGGATCACCCTGAGCAACACAGAAAACATTTAAATTCCCTTTCACTGCAAAGGAGACATTTTCAGTGTTTTGCAGCATGTAAGCTTCACTTCTCTTTAACTGATGGGATTTTTGTCTTCATCTTTAGTTTGAAAATGCTGTCATATGGATGTGCCTGAAAAAAAATAATTATTAAGAACATTTGGAACAGAAAGACCAAGTCATCTTGGAGCACTCAAAACAATAGTCTAACTAATTCACATCATGTTCCCATGACGTAAATGGAAAAAATTATTATGCAGGTTCTGGTATATATTAAATATCAAAAGACAGATTTTAGTGAAAGATGAGTACATACACGTGTCTGTATTTGCCATCACATTTTCACCTGAAAGGCCATTTTCTTAGATTATATCATGTGAAGATCTGGGTAGTTGCTGATGGTTACTATATTATGTCCTTACTGTTTAAATTCAAATATTTATTTTTTTATGACTACCTCATCCTAAATCTCTGTTATGTTGGTTTTTTCCACCAGTGAAAACCTGTAAACCAAGTGTAAATTTAGTAGGGTAAGTGTGTAAGTTTCGAGCTGGCTCTCTGCTAAATTGCTGAAACCCAGCAAAAAAGCCCAGAGAGGGAAGAAAAAAACCCCGAACAGCCAAAGCTATAGCAAAAATATATATTTACAATTATATATACAATTTGAATATATTGTACACACGACAGGGAGCTCCCGGGGGGAAAAAAGGGAAAAGGGAAGGGGAAAACAGAGATAAAAAACCAAAATGGGACAGAAACAAAAACAGATATGCACAGTCGAAAAAAACCCAGCAACTGACAAAATAAAGAACTAACAAAATCTCACCACTCCCCTTGAGAAAAGCAGGACAGCTGGACGCAGCCCAGCACTCTCCCCTCACGCGTGGCAGACACAGCAGTCACTGCAGGCTTCAGCTCCAGATAAGCAAGACTGAGACAGGGACCTACCGTTCCCAAACCTCGCTGGAAGAAGAGAAGAGAGTGAGTTCTCTTATCTACGCCTTATTTATACCTCAGGTTACATAAAACAATAGCATGGAATACTTCCTTGGTCACTTCCCTAGTTCCTTCCTGCTTACAGGCTGGTCTCCAGAAAGGCCTAGACTGAAACTATCACAGTAAGCAACATCAGAAACAGAATATGCTTCTAGGGAAACACAGAATAGATCCATAGAAGTCAACTTTTGATTCCATACTTCCAGTAGAGCAAACCAAAGAAGGTTTATTTCAGAGTCCAGCTCCCCTTTTTCTTTTAACAGTGGGCTTATATTAGCAAGGATCTGATGCAGATGAGAAGAGGATCGAGGTACTCAAAACAACAGACCACACAATGCATAAAGACATCTTTGCAGGCATTTTAAATTGATGAAAGTAGATGTGAAGTAAGATAACATGTAGGTACCCCCAAAATGCCAGGCAGTGGAAGGATTGTAGGAAAATCTATTTCCAAAGTTGAGACCACTAGACTTAGAAGAATATTAACCCTAACGGCACTTCTAACACCAGGCCTGGGAAAGACGCTCCCCCTGCTCTTCTCAGGCTTTTATAATTTCTGGTCTCCCCACTCTGCATGAGGCCTTCAACATGTCTGCAGAACTTATCTTTTTCTCATACCAGGCAGCATTGCTTTGGAATGCAGGAGGGAAAAACATCTAAAACTGTATCTGGGAAAAGATGCCTCTTCTAGGCAGGAAAGCTTTCTTAAGTGCAACAAGCTCTGATCTCCTCACCATAATTCTTCTGGAAAGTCTTCTACCCTTTCAGTAGGTATCAGCTTGGACATAATGATAATCATTCTTAGCTAATATCTTCTTCTTTCCTCAAACTTTAGTGCATTTTTTAGCTGTTTGTGAACTTAAAATTTAACCTTCTGGCCAGCACCTCATCGCAGTTCATCAGAGACATCAGTCTTCATAACTGTGTTTTGTGAAGAAGCTATTTTCTCCTGCAATGTCAGGGTCCTCCAATCTGCACCTCTGCAACAGTACTGAATTTTTCCCCCTGACTAGCAGTTGATAAAAGTTAGTATTTTTCTTTTCTTAGAGATCTCATTTACAGATAAGCTGCTTTTGATTAGAGAAAAAGAGAGCTTCACTGATACAGATAATTGAAAATTAAGCATTTTCATTTCTCCTTTAATGCATAAAATCTTCCATTCGAACTTGTTGTTCCTTTATCTTCTCCATAAAGCTTGTGTGGGATACCCACGGGTTTCATTACTGCGAAACACTTCATACAGGAAATCTTCAGTGCACTTTCTGTGCACCCCAGTTGCCCTCATGTGCTCTTCAAAATTCACTGAAATAAGACATATTTCCTAGAGGCAGCAAACAGTACTCCCTGCTAAAGAAAGTTATTGTTTCACTTTATACATTATTTCTGGTGTTAAGATCTTTTTAACTCTTTCTTTAACTGAGGGGCAGACTGACTTTTTCAGTGCAAATAATATATCTGACTTTGAGCTGACCCCTCAATGTATCCCTCAATGTAGGGATATTCGTAACATCTATGGACATCTTGCATTACAACAGTGGGATTTTTTGTCATCAATGGATGAATACCAAAAACATGGATGGAGTAAAATGTAGCAGATACATTGAAAAGACAGATTGAACCTGATTTATTTATCAGTTTATTATTTATTATAGCCATCCTTTGTCTCTCTCATGGGTGTGTGAATGGAATATTTTCTGTGTCTGTAAAATAAAACTGGAAAAAGGAGGACACAGATAAAATACCACCTGAATAAAAGAAGCTGAATTCACAAATTTTTTTTTCCTGGTTCCTAAATATATATACTGTTACAGAAGCCTTCAAACTTTTTTATGTTTTCATAACTTTTTTATGTTTTCATCCCCAGACAGAAAGGAGATTCTTGTTCTTATTTATTCTTACTATTTTAGAGCACCCTCATGAGTACTTGGCACTTCAAAGGAGTAGAGAAGGAAAAAGGGAGCTCTCAGCCTTGACATGTATTACAGATTCCACTGCAAACAATTGCTGGAATAACAAACCCAAATAGGAGAACACAGTAGATACCAGAGTTATAGATATGGTTACACGAGCACTCAAACAAGCAGGATGAGTCAGCGAATTTAATCTTAAAAATATTTTCTTCCAGTCTTACTCCTACCCAAATTGCTTATTATGGACTTCTGCTCTCCAAAGACTTACATACTAGATTTTCAGCTCCCTGGCAATGCAGAAATCAGTCTATCAAGATCCCAATCCACTCTGTATTTACAACTGTAGAAAGTATTAACCAGCATGAAGAGCAGGAGAAAAACTTATGCTCTACCTTCTGTCATTTTGATAAAGAAGAAATTTTTTTTCCCCTTAGCATGTACTAAAATAAGAGGGGATTGTGTGGAATTGGTGGAGATAACCTCTGGTTAGAAAATCAGAGGTGGAGAACAAAGGAAGAGAGAAGGTTTAACCAAGAGTTTAGTTAATCTGCAATTTATTTAAAAATATTAAATTTTTGCATTTAGGAACAAACATTTAAAAACTTGGGTCCCCCAAAAAATGATTAGGGCAAAATTTTAGCAGTGCCAGCCCCAGCAATGAATGGGATCTTACTTAGCTTCTCAGAGTCCAGGCCAGAGGTCACCATGCACACCAAAGGTAGAAAATACTCTCTTGTAAAATCCATTCCTGTTTTGCAACAGAGGGGAAATGCCCATGGCTTCCCAGACCAGTTTTCCCAGACAGTCAGCTCCTTCTTCAAGTATTTGATATTTTATTTCCAGAATGAAACTAACATCTGGGACAGGGTTTCCAAAGCCACCTTTCACCTGAAAGGCAGGTACTGAACATGCAGTGCTACGCGCTGCTACCATCGTGTTGTGCGACGTTGTTCGTGGACACTTTTCCTATAACCTATATAATCTATTATTCCCTGTGTCAACTGTTGAAATGCTGAATGGTTTATGGCACAGATGATTTTCAGAAATTTAACTACCTGAGATGATGTTTAGCCTGATTCATCTTCATTTAAGCTGACTGCAAAGTCCTGCCCAGCTGTGGAACATTTTCTCAACAGCTGAAACACCCAGTTATTATGACTAAGTTTAGTATGTTTTCTTGACATAGAAAAGGTATAAAAGACTCTACTATATTACCTTTCTCACAGCATCATTGATCAACCAAAAACTGAAAGTAATGGAAACAGGAAAGAACTCATTGGGATATTTCATTTTCTCAGATTAAATTACTGGTTCTTTGCTTATTTTGAAAAGAGTAATTGAAGTTCAGTTATAACTGTCTAAGCATGTCTTAAAATAGAAGTTACTTGATATTAATGGAAACATGAGAAGGGCTAAGTGAATAAAATCAGCCCTTTAAACCCTTCGTTTATAAGTGGAGAGAAATACCATGCAGATACAAGCCAAATTCAATGACATTTTCCAGATGGCAAAGGACTATGTAAATTGCAGCCACTTTTAGCAGTACAGAGTCACCATTACTACTGGATTAAAATGAAAACCAAACCCAAGGTGCAATGAAACAATGTAGTGGTCCAAATGTGCTTTTCTCAAGTTATATTTTTTGAAATTCATGAAGGCCTCGGACTCATTCATTGTTAAACAGATACACTGTTCTGGAAGAGACTTGTCTGGGGGTTTTTTTCCTACTTTTCTTGCTTAGTTTTTTCTTTTGGAAAAAATCCTCTCTACAGCCACATTTAGAATGCAACGTACTTTTCAAAATCACATCACATCCTTGTTTTCACAGAAGAAAGCCAGCGAGTCTTGTGAGCTCTATCTGCTTGGGAATCGGGGAACAAGTCATGAATTTCTCATGAGAAGGATAGATATGATAACTGTGGTTTTTGGATGAGAACATGGTCTCTGCCTGACATTCTGAAGGACAGGTTGGACTAGTCTTGCCTCAAGCAAAGGCAAACCCATCCATGGGATTGTTTTCGCTCAAGGACCTGAGAGCACTCGATGGGTACTGTAGAGGGATGGGGATTGATGAAGTCAACCCACATTCTGAGGGATGGTCAGTGACTACTGAAAGAACACCTGTGCTTGTGTATATCTGTATATATATCTATAAATACATAGCTTTCACTAGCCACCACCTGAGACTACTGCTGCTCTTGCTAGCTACCACTGTGCCAGAATCTGCACCAGCATCTCAGCAGAATAAATCCTTTTGATGAAATATCCTTCCAGGTTTTGCATTTCCCCTATTCCCCACTGGTTTTGTCTGGCCAAAGAGAGCATTAAACCACGCAAACTTGTTTGACAAAGTACTTCTTTTGTTCTCTTGGGCCATGTGGCACAAAGCATGGGAACAGCAGCCTTTTTCTAACCCTAGGGGTGGGGGGACAGGTAACATTTTGCTTTTGTTGCTTTTGTGATTTTTTTTTTCCTTTTTTGATTCCTCTGTATTATTGTGTTACTTGATAGTTTTTACCTCAGTAAAATTATGACTTTAACATTTTTAATCTCTTGCAGTCTTTGTTTTCCCCTCCACTGAAATGAGGGGGTGGTTTGAGCAGTCTTAACTTTTCTTCCTGATGAATTTTTAAAACAGTACAACTTCTTCACAGGTTTGTATCATAACAACTACAAAAGCTACCCTTTTTGAATGTTATTGAATATTATTTCATACAATAAACATATTTATGCTGGAACAATGAAAAACTCTTTTGAAAAGAGACACAAAATGTTATGTGCTGTATCATGTTGCACTAGATTTAGGTAATTTCTATCTTCATTTTGAATTGCACGTAGTGAATTTATTTAAATTGCTCATTTCCATAACAGCCGAAACATCAGAGTCTGATGTTTTCTGAAAACAGAAGAGTGTCACTTAGGGAAAAATACATAATGTTATGAACCAGAAACAATGCAA